TTTCGACCCTGAAAATGTCACACCTCACCCTACCTTACGGATTTCCGTCTCCGGCGGTAAGGGTTGCCCAATAAGGGCTTTAAAAGAGCGGAGCTAATACCGTGACCGGCCTCAAGCAGTTGTCCCTTGGGCACTGCGGTCACGCTCCCAGGTCGCTAAGACAGACACTAATCTACCTTCTTTTTCAGGTCCCTCAAGAAGCAACCTTCCAAGGTGTGGGTAGCCGGGAATCGACAACCGCCCTCATACCAGTAACAACACGAGAGACCAAATTGGTCAAAATCAAATCACCCTGACCAGTTACTTCACATTTTACTTATTTGCAATTAGTGGAAGTACAGAAACGAGAGAAATACTATGCCCCACAGTTCCAGCAACAGTGTTAGACCTTGAACCAAATAACGTGGATTATGGAAAGAACAGTGTATTTGATTAGAATTTGAACAGTCAGTCATAATAATGTCATTTTTATGGTTAGTAATTCAACAACATTCAATAGAAATACCTTCCAACGTAAGATTGATGCATTTATGTTGGCAAGACAATCCTGCGAAAAACGACTTTGCAGAAGAAAGTTACCGAGGACATGTCATTTTAACTATTCGAACTCTGCTCTAGAAATGGAAAGACACAAAATGGTTATACTTCAAATAAGTAAAACCCATTGAACGCATAATAGATAGACAAGATAAACTTTTGGAGAGGCATTATTGTATTGTGCTCCTAAAGAAGAGGATACTTCAGACACACAAAGTTGTACTGATGCTCTACAAAGAAATACGAAGAATGCTTACACGATGATGACATCATCAATCCAGAATCAATCAACCAATAATAAAAACCAGGAGGGAAAGGATTACAACAAATAGCATTCGCTTTTATACTTACAACGGCAATACAGGCGAAGATATTAAAGATAAGATTTATGATGCTGCTGCATCCATCCTACAGGATAGCATCCGAATAGGTGAACTGAACGTCAAGGTTAGCACAATCAACACCAGGTGAGAAGACATCATGGATTAGGAGAAAGGAACGAAAACGGTGACATATTAGCAAATCAATGTGCCTTCAACAAAATGATCGTAAGTGGCACCATATACCTCTACAAATGCTCATACAAAGCCATATGGGTTTCACCGGATCACGCTGCACAGAATCAAATCGGCCATATCTGCATCAATAAGAGTTCAGAAGGACCATGAAAGACATGAGACAAGTAGAGGAATTTCTAAACCCTCAGATCATCAATTCACGGTTCCCAAGATAAAAGTGAAACTAAAGAAGCACTGCATTACAGAACTTCAATATTATTCTATAATCTTCTCTGTAATTTTACTCGCTTCTGGACATTTTCCTGTCTAGTTTCACATTACCATTGAAGCTATCATTACGTTAATTCCCTATTTCACTATGGTGATATAAATATACATCGACCTTAATAGATACGGACCTCTGCCAATTCCTATGTTGTTTTTCATTTCATAATTTAACTCTCTTTGCTTTAAAGTGCATTAATGACCTGCATTCCTTAATAATTCCTCCTAATTACCATGTATGCCTTTCACACTGCTCTCATCGATTAAGATAGCCCTTTACTACTGAAAATCTCTACATTCATCTATCATATTGCTCAGGATGGAGAAATGTATCCTCCCCCATGATTGACTTCAAATGGATTTAATACAAGTTAGTACTAACCTAGCCACTGCACTTATAACGGACAGGAGATTCTACTAGGTTAGGTTGGGGTTTGAACGAAGTTGATGATATGCCGTTTATCATTAACTGAATCTCTATAGCTTCTAAGTCAGTGCTCGAGAAGGTGGAGTCCACTGTGAAAGTAGCTTCCTATCGTATTGTATGATGACTTGTAATATCTGGTAATCTAAATTCTGCTCAAACATTGAAGAATATCAGGTGTGGTCGATTACGTTTTCTTTAAAACGAAAACTAAGGAAAAATAGCTGTTCGACGCGCTTAGTTTTCGAATGGATCTTCATCTGATGTCGGTTCAAGATGTTAGTAAAATCAACAATCTGATCATAATCCACATTCAATATTTATTACATAAACCATCTACAAATATTCTCTCACTTTTTCGAGATTGTTGATCAAAAATGCCAGGAAGATGTAACATACAACGTTGGAGAAATGTAACCAACCATACTCAACCAATTATCTTCGGCTCTAAATGACTAGAATTGTGGCTCTCTGACGAACCTTTACAAAAAATGATATCATGTCTTGTACATTCTTATCAATGTTAATCATCATATCTACAGTCCAATTTTTTGTAGTATTTCAAGCAACATACGACTATATTCTTGTTGTTGTTTAATTTAGTTGGTCTATCAGGCCAACACACTAAAAACTTAATACTATAAAAACAAAAGTGTTGCATTTCATAAACCATTTTAATTTGATCATGATCTTAAACCATATAGATTATGTTGTAGTAGTACAATGAACTAATCTATACTCGTTTGGATAGATAATATTAATTTATCAATTAGAATTATGGGGATTAGTGTTTCCACACATCGAAATCATCAATCAATCATTGTTAGACCACCATTAGAAACCTGGGAGCACCGGACAACGGCCGTTTCATCCTGGCATGGGACTCATCAGCAGTGCGCATCTGTGACTCCTGCACCTCGCAGGATTCGAACCCAGGACCTTTGGTCTTGCGCGCGAACGCCCAATCTCTGGACCACTGGGCCGGCATCCATAGGTGTTAATGTCTAACTGTGATCGATCAAGGGATCTTGCGCGACCTCACCCATTTGTCTTTGGTATTTAGTGCCTACTGCCGACAGTGTTGAACTCCGCTGGTCACGTCTTCTCACTAGAACTCCGAAAATTTCCTCAAGAAGCTAGTCACTAGTGAGCACATTTTACGATTTTTCAATTAGAATTATGGAGATTAGTGTTTTTTGCACATTGAAATCATCAATCAATCATTGTTAGACCACCATAAGAAACTTGGAAGCGCTGGTATGGGACTCATAAATTACACGGAAACAAAACTCAATAAAATAATAACTAACTAATTTAACATGCAGATCAATCAATCATTTGTAAATTTATCACAGGATCACATGTTAAAAAAAGGTGGTGTTTAAAAACGCTCAAATTCTTGATAGAGTAGTAATCTGACATAAACTAAATACAATTCGATTGTTCAAAGTTCAATCTGTCTTTTTTCTAATTGTAAGAAATAAAGTAGATGATCGTATAAGTTCAGTATTTCTATATTTATTTGTAAGCATATCCTTTTTGAATCTTATGTAAGCTTCTACAAAAAAAATTGAGCATTTCATTTCGATATAATGCAAAATAGATATGAGTTAGCGACAACGTCGCCTATTCCATCATCCATTGACTACTGAACAATATTCATTACGACCAAAAAAAAACTAAGTACACGATTTAAAGCATGACGATTATAGTTTTTGTTTAAATACTTCTCTTTGTATTTAAAACGCATTTGCCCAACAACAGATTGTGTCATGATGCTATATTTTATACTACTTTAAATGCTAAAAATTTCGACTAAATTATTCAATTACTTTATTATAATTGTACTAAGTTTGTTTGTGTTTTTTTTTAAAAAAAAAAAGAACATCCGATTGTTTTAATTATTCTCAAGAAAATTTCAATAATCAAGAGCAAATTTTCCTAAATTGCATAATACAATTAATCAAAAAAAAAAAAGAGGACAAACAAACGACGTGAAGCGAAAAAAAAAACGGTTTGGTTATTATTATTCATTCATTGACAAAAAAACAACTTTTTCTTCACAAATCTCTCTCTCTCTTATTCACTTTCTAATGGTCACATTGAGAGGAGAAAAAACACACTCACTAACATTGAAATACATCACTTACTTATCCAAAACCAGAAACGTAACAATCAACAGATCATTTCAATTCTTAGTAAGAAATCTATCTATCTATCTATCTCTATCTTATCGATAGAATAAAGAGCTTTGTATTTTGAAAAAGAACAAAGAACAAAGTGTGTGTGAGAGAGAGAGATAGAGAGAAAACAATACAATACAATACAATGTGCATAATGAAGATGAATGTGCGCGTAATAATAATAAGTGAAATGCTTAGATACAAATGAATACAAATGAAGAAATATAATATATATTCATTCCCAGTTAGTTAGTTAGTTAGTTAGTTCATGAGACAAACAGTGTAAAATCACACTACAAATAACCAATAATAATAATAACAATAATATTAATAATAATACACAACACGTTTGTGTTTAAAAAAATCATCCACACTTAAGCATTACAAAAATTTGGAAACAGTGAGAGAGAGTGTGTGTTTGTGAATGTGGAAATGTTCGTTTTTTTAGTTTCACCTGGAAAAATTTCACGCCGTCGACAAAAGGAAAACAATTTTTATTTATCAACAAGTGGTAGCAGTAGTAGTAGTACTAGTAATAGTAGTAATAGTAGTAGTAGTAGTAATAGTAGTAGTAGTAGATTGGGTGTTTATATTTCAGATAAATAAACTATCCAATAAAATAGACTACACAATTACAACTCTTCAAAAAAAACCAGAATGTAGTGTATATCAACACGACGAGGCATTGAAATATTTATTATTAATAGCTAGTTAAGTCATTCATTCAAATTTCAATGCAAGGAAAAGCATGTTTTGTTTTGTTTTTTTCGGAATAAAGTCATGGGTACGGCGAAAAGTGTGTGTGTGTTTGATTAAATTCAGTTTTCTTTTCAATACAAAAAAAAGCATTTTGTGTTTCAAAGTGAAGGGGAAGAGTGAAATTGCGAAACAATGAATATAACAATAATAATAATTATTATTATATATAATAATAATAATAGTAATAATAATAATAACACAAAAATACAGAACCTTAGTCCATCAAAATTAAGAGACTGTCAAGATTCACAAATACAAATGAGAAGACAAAAGGCATTAAAGGGACCAAAAGATTTTTTCTTAACTACTCATCATTTAAGGGAGACTTGGTTAATTATTTTATTAGTAGCATTCATAATGCACACACAGAGACACACACACGCACACACACAAACAGAAGAGAAGAGAAATGGAACAAAACACAAGGTTTATTGTAAAGACAGTGTGTATCGATTAAGCCGAACAGTGTTTTTCTCTCAAAAACAGAAGTGGCAATTGGAATCGGAAATGGAGATGGGAGCAGACACACACAGAGAGAGAGAGAGAGAGAAAACACGCCAGTTTACATTGGTGTTTAACAGGGAATTGTTGATTTAATGAAGTAAAAATGGGATTCGAATTCGAATTCATCGACCCTGGTGAAGTTATTGCTAAAGGAAAATAGAAAAAGAGGGAGAAAGTAAGTGAATGATATTGGGTATTAAAATTATTTGTTTTGAAAAAATTAGATCCTGTAGATAACATATAGAAATAACATCGAGGATTAACAATAACTACCAACTATATATATGGATAGCATGGTCAAGTCTACTTCTAGAAACGCTAAACTCATTGAAAATCATGATTCTTTTATTTGAATAGGTGTTGGTAAGATCAAGACTGGTTACTGTTGTAGTATGATATGAAGCATAAAGGTCTAATCATAGATCTTGAATACTTTTGACTGTGATAAATGTGAAGTATATCACTGGATGATCAATATGCGTAGAAATCTTATTGTTGATTGGTGAAGTAGAAGGTCAGATACATGTTGATAAAGTTAATTGTACACTTACTTTCTAAAGCTCCCTTGCCCAAAGTTCCACTACTAAGATTTTGATAGCATACAGTTATGTTTGATCGTTAACAGAAGAAAGTCAACTAATTGCCAGATAATTTCATTAGCAATAATCTAGAGAATGGTTTTAAGGAGGAATGTCAATCCTGAGCTGTCGAATGAAGAACTGCTAGACAATGTATTTCAGTGAGTTCCAGTCTAAGAACTAGAAAGGGACAGAGTTGGTTAGAGAAAACTGGTGGGCGGCCTATGCTCCATTCAGAGTAACAGGCGTAAGTAAGTAAGTAAGTAAGAGTTCCAGTCTAATAGCAATATTATATGGGCTAAACTGAAGTCAGAAATAGATGGAGGTGTAATGAAAGACGGAAGCCAAGTTGGAATAAGCAATTTATTAGAAAAAGGTATAATCTACTAGTCAGAAAGTGTACACCTTTTCACATAGCATCCATTTGTAAAATAAGCGTATTCTTGGCTGTATTTTATTCCTAAAAACACCTAGATCGCGCTATAAATCTGGATTCGACACTCCGACTGTAACTTCAGGGTAATACTCTAATGCATATTCACTGCATTTTCAAGTAGATAAGAAGTAGAAGACCACTTGCAACTGAATGAATCAAACAGGACAAAGAGTAATAATTGGCTAAATACTCCAATAAAGCGTAGAAAACAAGTATCGTATTGTTTGGACGACGTCAATTTATGATTATTAGAATGGTTGGTTAATATAAGAAATCCAATATCCTACTTCTCAACAACTCTGAAACAACTTAGATTAAAGACAGACTCCGAAACTTTTTTCTTTATGATTAAAACGTTAAACAGATATTTTCAAAGTAAATCAATAAAAAAAAATAGCACACCTGAATCAGTTCCGATTCAAATTTCGACATCATTGATGTTCTATCCTCAGTAGAGATTCCATTACTATTTAAAATTAAATTTGGATTAGCCAAATTAGAATCAGTTGTTAACATTGGTTTCTTTGGCCTAGATGAAACAGCAATCGATGCAGATGAAGGAGAACAATCCGATTTCGTAATACATGGACTAGTGACAATAACACTATTCCCATTAGTTAAACACTTATTATTATCACTTGTAACATTTTCTGCTTGTATTGATGAATTTCTATTCTTATTTACTTTATCTTCATTTTGATCCAATTTTTTCGATGATGGTGCATTAACAGGAGGGATAGGAGAATGAGGTCGTTTACGATCATTGATAGGACCATTTGCAATTGATAACTTTAAAGTTGATGATAGATCTAATGGTTGAAATACAATGCCTTTACGTGAAGCCATTGAATCAATCACATCATTCAAACGTCGTACTCTTCGTGGTCGAGTCAATAAACTGGATGGATCATGTATTCGTGCTATTATAGGTTGAGCTGAAATTTTAAAAAAAAATGCATAGAGATTGAAAGCTCCATGATGATTTACAATACTATAAGGTAATTCTGAAACATGAATATTTCGAACAGCAAGTCAAAAGGAGATTAATGAAAGAATCTATCAAGTGAGAAGTTTTAAGAATATAATATCCCACTAATACAGATATTTGTATATGAGACGTACAAAACTGACTGATTTGTGACACAAATAAACCAAAAAATACTTCGTTACACACCAAATATAACTAAAATAGTTGGACACTGTTTAACTACTCATGAGTAGGTAAAAAAGATAAATGAAAAAAAAGAGGCTTACAAAAAGTGTTCATCCTATGTAAATTTAAACTATGTAACTTATTTCTTGCACTTTTGTTTAGAAAAAACATACTAGCTATAACGAACTATTTGATATACAAGGAGAATATCTTTAATAACTTTTCTTTTCAAGATGAGGAATTCACACTAGACGTGCAAAATTCAGTGAACTAAAATATACACTAAGTAATTGTACTAGATAGAAACGATAAGCCGAACATCAGAATGTAACCTGTATTACGTCACCAATCGGTTTACGAATATCATAATTATGAAAGATGGATAAGTACCGAGCGATGAATAGGTTACAGTGATATTTCAGATTACGAACAGCTACAGTTGAGAAGACTATGATAAAAATTCAGTGTCACTAAGAATTTGAGTTGGTTAACACACAAACACGCTTGGATTTTCCCTGTGTATGTTGTTATGAGACAAATATCAATAAAATATAAAAACTAAGAGTAATAATATTTTATTACTAGTGCTACTACGGCTATTATCATAATTACTGACCAGCAGCCTTCAATGTTGCATACATCAACATCATATCCGATTCTGACAGATTATCGATTCCTGTTGGATTTGATTCATTGCATTTACTGTCATGTTGGAATTGTTGCTTTGACGAGAAAATCTCAGGCACTCCACCAGGATGTCGAGCTAAACGTAGTGGTTGAACAAGATTTGGACAAAGTATACGTGCTAGACGTATAATAGACGGAGTTCTAAAGCATTGTGTTCCTCTTGGAGTACCAATTAAAGTACTGAAGAATCCAGATCCATCAATTAATTTACTGTTAGCAGTGGAAGGATTAGCACCATTAGACGTGTTCTTAGTATTGTTGTTGTTATTAATATTATGTTGATGATCATTTGATGAATAGACATCAATATCACCACCGCTATCTGGAGTCTGAAATGGCAGTAGTAAAAGTATAAGGAAAAAGAACAGCAACCTATTATTATTGACTAAGAAGTGTAAAATTACATGAAAATAAAAAAAAACCTGTTTGAGTTGAATGAATATTATTCAATGTGATAACAGAAGCTGCTGCAGTTTCACAATATGCTATTTCGAAGTTCAAGCTAATCAGTCCAGCTGACAAAGCTGGAGAAGGATTGTAGATAGGTAGGTAGGTATATGAACAAACAGACAAGCACACAAACACGGACATACACACAGATAAATACACATACAAAAAATTGAGTGTGACTGACAGGTATGATAACACTACTGGCCACATAAGAATTCAATGTACATAAATAACTATGTACGTGTGTGCGTGTGTGTGTTGAAGAAATATAGAGGGGTTTCATATTAATCACTCATGTGATGATGACTATGACAATAGAGATTGCTACAATCGACAGGGGTATGAAAAAAATAGCGATAAGTTGGAAGGGCTTAAAAAGCAATATGCATTATATTTAAGTAGTGTATAGTTGTTCAGTAGTACACGGAGATCAACTCTGTTCAATCTCGATCTGGATTCTCCATAAGGAAACAATTTCAATAAGTGAGAGAGTTTCCCTATCAAGTTGTTTGAGTAGTTAACGTCAATCGGATATTCAGTGAAGTTTCCACGATTTCGGCAAATTCATTATCATTTATTCAGTTACATGTAGTTTTTTTTTTAAAAAAAAACTAACCCGAAAGTAAACATTTCTCGTTCAAATGAGACGAACTTGTTTATTTTCTAATTCAAAAGTGTTATTGCCCAAATGACAATCCACGTGTATTATGACAATATCGGTAACAAATGAAAAGCCTAAAACTCATTAAGAACTACATCGTTCTATTACAACCAAATGTATCTTATCACTCATGAAAGAAATTAAATTGAGAATGCAACAAGTAGATTATCTTGATCAACTTCTAAAAATTCAAAACATAAAGGAATCTTTTTTTTCAATTAGAGTTATGGAGATCATCATCCATCAGTCATTGTTAGACCACCATTATAAACCTGGAAGACCGAAGGTCCTGGGTTCGAATCCAGTGAGATGCAGGAGGCATGGATGTGCACTGCTGATGAGTTCCACACCAGGGCGAAACGGTCATCCAGTGCTTCCAGATTTCTAATGGTGGTCTAACAATGATGGATTGATGATTTCAATGTGTATAGAGGAATCTATCTTAAAAAGAACAACAAAAGTTTATGCTTAAATAAATAGATACCCTACTTGATAGAAGATTGACCATAGGCATTTTTTTAATTCACACTCTAAACAGTATTAGTTTAATATGAAGATTATTGTTCAGTGGATTTATAAGCTTGGTTTACTACAACTCTTTCAATTATTAACAGTCATTATTATCGTGCATTGCAAACTATGCGAATTTTACAGCTCAAATAATTATATATATATTTGTAATTACGCAGTCATATATTGATCGATTCATGCGAATATGCAAAATAATTCTCCTGGTAGTTAAAAATTACCAATCATTACATGAGAAAAAGAAAAATCAATCGATTACAAAGTAATGACAACATGTTATTTACATTATGTCAAAAAAAAAACAAGCTTACATCACTTACTCCACCAGATAAACCGATAGAATGAGATTTGAATTGATGATTCACTGATCCAGTTATATTGATAGGACCACCAGATTTTGAATTAGTTTCAACTGATGAATTGTTCACTTGTTGTTGAGTGCGTAAAGTTGTAGCAGGACGATCTAAATAGTATTAATAGTAATAATAATAATAATAATATTAGAGGGAAGTTAAGCGATCCCATTCACAGTTAATATTAAACTATAATTTTAGAAAAGTTAGAAGTGGTCAAACAACAACAACATGACATCCGTACATAAATTTTTTTTGATAATTAGACTGAATTATGTTGGCCAGACACGATCAGCAACAACCTACTGTGAGAGAGAACAAACCAGATTCCAGTGGAGGAGGAAATCAGGAAGCAGCGGTGAAAGTGGATAGGATACACATTATGAAAAGCACCTAACTGCGTTACAAGACAAATCCTCACTTGGAACCCTCAACGCAAAAGGAAAAGAGGAAGGCCAAGGAATTAGAGAAAGACATAAGAAGAATGAACAAAAATTGGACAGAACTGGAAAGGGAAGCCTAGAACAGAGTTGGTTGGAGAAAACTGGTCGGCGGCCTATGCTCCATTAGGGGTAACAGGCGAAAGTAAGTAAAGTGTGTTGCTAGGTGTAGACTACTTGATTGGAATCAATGAGACTATTGTAATTGATGAATGGAAATTTCGGGTAACGTGATTCAGGACCCAGAGTAAATTCACTCTGTCTTTTCTTAGATCCTAAGTTTCTAAATAATCATTTTCTTGAATCTTCTACGCTTAGTATTTTCAATTACCACTAATACTATTACTACTTCTGCTATTCTAATAAAAGAATTCTATACTGGATGTCAAGAAGACAAATAGAAAGAAGTCAGCCAAAAATAAACAGGTCAACATTAGGGCCATAGTCCATCACATACATATTTTGACAATTCAGTCTTTATTTTATGTTATTAGGCTTTTAATATGCTGTTAGTATTTTAGTACAACACTCTAGTGAATTTACTACAACATAACTCTAGTTTCTAACTAACTATGAGCAGGGATTAATTTGCCAAAAAAATAAATCACGATCATTCAAAATTCTAATAATAGTGACCATGAACTGGTTACTATCACTATATTAGTCAATCAAATAATATTGAATAGTTGCTCTTTTTTTAAGGTATCCAAATCCACAAATGTCAGTTAGATTTCAATCGATAAAGATTCATCATTCGGTTGATTGATTGATTATCTATCTATCTCAGCTTTACCTAGCCATTCAGATCCAGTATTTTTCATCATTTGCGCAGTAGATCGAGTGTATAAGCGCGCGACTACAACTCGAAAGTATCAATAGCTGAATGCCTATGATTATATGATAACATAAATAGGCTACATTTATGTAAAAAAAACAAAACAAAAGAGCCTACTATTCCATAGTAGATTCATAACCGATTCAATCCAATAGATAAACAAGGAAGAAAAAAAACGAAACAGATTACGAAATGGTAATAAAATAATTCGGTCATGATTAATTACCACAGTTTGATGAGGAGTAACGACGAAACAGTAAAACACACACTTATAAAAACTAATGCTTTACAACAAAGGAGAGAGATCGAGCAATAACTAAGTATGACAAGGATGAATTCACTCTCTTTCTCTCTCTATGCAGCAAACGATGAATAACGATTGCTGCAAGTAACTAACCATGAACAGTTTATAATCAGTACAAAGTATTAAAAACACCATTTTCAAAAAAAAAAAAGACAAAACAAAAATACGGCGACTGAACAGGAGAGAGTGAGATATGAAATGATACAAATCTATGCTGTTTATGACAAAAATCGATATATATATATATATATATATATATATATATATATATATATATATATATATGCATACAAATTTATTGATTATAAGAATCTGACACAAATCTGGCCACAAATGTCAAATAGATTTTACTATCACTCTGGTTTATCGATTATATATATATATAAAGAGCTATGAAAAAAAATTAAAAAAAAGAATACAATATTACAAGAATAAAGTCCAATCCAAGAGATTTCAAAAATAGTTAACTTGATTTCAGTGAAGAAATAAAAAAGGAAGATATCTTTTTTTTTACAGTAAATGCAGATATAGTTTTTTTTCCGAATTGCTTCCTCCCCTCATTAGAACATATTATTACAGTCATACTGTGAAATTACTGAACGATAATAATAATAATAATAATACCATGATCAGTAAAATAACCATTAACACGAAAACCTATACTTGATAATCAACCATGGGATAGATAGGCAGCCAAAACTTCCCATTGTTCAATGAATTACGATGAAAATCATCTTGAAATATAAGCAAGATGCATTTTGCAACACTGACAGTCTAACTTGAAACACTTTAATATTAGTTAGTGAATTACATAAACAATTTGAGGCGTTGATATATAAATTATCCCCAGTGAATGTAGAAAACCTGATTAACTTTACTTAGTGAAGGGGAATAACAAAATTATCAGTTGTATAAGTAGGACTAGTTAAAAACAGACAATTGAAAAAAGAAAAAACAGGTAAACAGATGAAATACAATGAAAGTAAAAAATAATAATATGTTCAAAAATTTGAGAAAAAAAAATTCAAGTTACTGGAGTACATAGTCACTTGTAATTAGTTTTGCTTGTATAAGTATAGTATGTAAAACTTCTGTGATGTAAGCAGAGCTGATGAGAACCTAACGAGACGAAATGAATTCCTGTTTCGATGCTGTGCTTGAATCTTTGCTGATGATTCCTTCAAGATAATAAAACAAATTGTGCATACGAAAAAAAAACGATAGTTGACTAATTTTGGTTTTACATTAAAAAAATAGAGGAATCGTAAGTAAGTTAGAGGAAGAAAGATTGTAACCATTAAAACAGATAACAGCTGAAAAAACTAGAGTACCTAGAGATTGCAGCTTCTTAGTTTGATACTGAGAAAACATATACACCCTTTAACACATACACTTTTAAATCTTTTGGAACAAATTGCTATGCTAGGAGTGATGTACTTTGTATTGAAATAGATCAGTTCAAGTTGCTATATCACATTAGCACAGAGATGCAACTGTCAATTCAAATCCCATACATAGTAGTAGAGGTAACAGTTGTACTAGCGGTAATCGAAAAGATTAGGGTTCGAAGATAGGATTCTAGAAGTATCATTCAGTGAAATAATTCTAAAAGAGAAAGATGAAAGTCGTGAGGAATTCAGAAGATTAGAATTCGAGAGAATACAAGAAATGGACGCACCTACACAATCGTAAATGATTTTGAGCCATGTCATTCAAAGTTTCTAACCATCGGTTACCATTATCTCGTGGACCCCAACCAGGTGGTTTACACGAACTAAAAAGGCTTAGTCCAGTTGTTAGTGACTCCATGGATTTGTGCCATGTTTTGGTTTGACCGTCTCTACCCTTATTCTAGTCCACCCCTACATCAGACAACATCACTAGTCGAGGTAGCTAGTGGTTAGGAATATGTAACACACGTCGCAAACACCTCAACTGGTGGCGATTCATTACATCACCAGTTGATTTACCATCCTTGCGTAGTAACCTTTTCCTAACACCAGCATTGCTTCGAAGACACCGATGATCGAATACTAATAACCTACAAATATCCTCTACTCTGACCGTCCATGTTTCACGCTCATACAGTCGGAGTTAGCTAACTGATACGCAGTAGACTCGTCCTTTGTTTAGTAGACGGATATCTCGCCTACGCCATCAATGACACAAGTTGACAAAAGTCAGTCGAGCCTTTTGTATCCGCATTGAGATCTAGTCACACATCAAGCCATCAGCACTGATGAAACTCCCAAGATAAGCGAAACGGTCAGCATGCTCAACTACTTCACTCCATACCAATAGTGTACTTGATTGGCCAAGAAATGCCTCACATTTCTAAGAAATGAGACATATACGATTAGTGGCCTACCCAATATTCCGGCCGGTTTGGCTTGCATATAAGGAAGACTGAATACTTATGTCAGAATCGGACACTGGGCATTACAAAGCAGCAGTGATTCCAAACCCAGTAACCAGTAAGTTTTCAACTTTAGCTAATGACTTAAAAATAAAACAATTTCCTAACGGCTTTTCATTCCTGCTTGTTATATAACTTAAAAGGTAACAACTTAAAAGGTGAATCAGTCAAATTTCACGGAGAAAACACTCACACACACACACACATATCATATATGAAGCTTAGACAAAATATCACATTAATAGATATGCATACTTTTCGATAAATAATAAATATCTACTTCAAAAAAACAAGACAATATATATATGCATCGAATGAATCGAACATCATATCATGTGATGTGGTCTTGTTGCTGATGATAATTCTTTATTGTCATGTGGTTGACAAGATGATGATAAAATAAACAAATAAATCGATGAAGGCATAACTGTAGCCACTCGAGGCATGATTATATAATAACGTATTACATATATATATATATATATATATATATCAAACTAAATAAATTACCTTTAGATTCAACGCTTTTTAAGCCACCATAACGTTTCCAATAAGACCAACAACCAGCGCAAAGACGAGAATTAGCATTCGATGGACCCCATGCATACCATTGAGGAGAATTCAATGCTTTATAATTAATAATAGTATATGAAAACAATTATTAGTGATATATGAATATCAAAAAAACATATTAGACATATTTGAAATCATTAATCAATCATCATTGTTAGACCACCATTAGAAACCTGGAAGCACTGGACGGCCGTTTCGTCCTAGTATGGGACTCCTCAGCAGTGCGCATCCACGACTCCTGCTCCTCGCAGGATTCGAACCCGGGACCTTTGGCATTGTAGGCGAACGCCTTACCATCGGACCACTGGGCCGGCATCCAACGGTGTTAATGTCTAACTCTGATTGATCTAGGGATTTTGCGCGACCTCACCCATTTGTCTTTGGTAGTTACTGCCTACACCCGACAGGGTTGAACTCCACTGGTCACGTCTTCTCAACTAGAACTCCGAGAATTTCCTCACGAAGCTAGTCACTAGTGAGCACTGTTACATTATATTGGGGCACAGTTTTGGAGGTTTGCGTTTTTACACATTTGAAATCATTAATCAATCATCATGGTGGTCTAACAATGATGATTGATTAATGATTTCAAATGTGTAAAAACGCAAACCTCCAAAACTGTGCCCCAATATAATATTAGACATAGACAGAGGTAATTAATTTAATATGAGCTTCTTGATATGATGATGATGAATTTATTATTTACAAGTAAAGAGATTGTCATAAAGCAATTTGAAAACTTACTGTCTATGCATAAATGAGTAAGCAAGTTATTTAACTCACAACACAAGTGAATTTATCATCCATTTGCTCACAGAAAGAGCTGTTAGACATGTGAGATTTATAGAAGTTAAATAGAAGATTCAATAGTCAATAAGTTGAACTATGTAATTCAGTAGATACTGTCTAGTCAATACAATGAAGAAAATTAGGAAAGATGTGTAGGCTTTTGTTTTGTCTGCACAAATCGTGAAAATTACTGGAAAGATTCAACCGTGCCACTCACTGAGTAACACCTATTCGTATAGTCAGCATTTTTAAGCGAAAAGTTATTCTGTCGATTTATCTTAAAGTATATTTAATTTACTGAATACTAGTGTAATTAGTAATATAAAAATCAGTTAGAAATCCATTGTCTATAATATCACAGTACCAGTTACAACCGATGAAACTATTGGGATCATAATGTCAATGTCAAATGAGGCATACAGCAGCACTGCGAGTATAAAATACTCTGTAACTTGAAAAAACGATATACATGTTTTGACAATAATATCTAGGAGTCATGCACGATTTACATGAATATTGAACTTGGGTGAATTGAATGAAATCTATAACCTTAATCGATTAAAACTTCTCAATACATTAATTCGTGAAAAATTATGCACTCAATGAGATTTATACCCCACATCACTAATCGAAATTATGTCAGACATTAAAATAAATTCAAAAGAAAACGGTGAAACTATGACAGATATGAGAAAAAAAAATAGGCCATAATCAAATTAAAATATCAATTTAGTAGTGCAATTTGTTTGCACGTGATCAATTTTCAACTATGCAAAGTTGACAAAGAAACTGGCAGTTATTGAAATTAGGCGTTTTAATGGTTTCTTTTGAAATTGACATAAAGATAATAAGACAAACAACATAATGTACAGTAAAATGAAGTTTATATCAATAAGAATAAACAGTAACAACAATGACAATTGACAATTTTATTCAATAACCCATCAAACTCAATGACATCTCATGATAAGAATATAGGCAGAGAGAGTAAAGAGAATTATTGTGAACTTTTGAAACAATGGCTGTTTGAACTTATGATACAGCAAAGACTTGTAATAACATTGATCATCTGGAATAAAGTAAATTACACGTCTTGTCCACTTAATTAATAGTGATTGATTTTGGTTTAGCCATATTTTCTTATTTTCGTATTTTTATGCGTTTACCTCGGAGAAAATTGTAATCATATACAATGAAAGTACAGCATCAAATTTAAATTGACTTACAATAATAATGAAAGAACGAATTAACTTACATCCACATCCTTCACATGGTCGACTTGGCTTGTCTGTAGCATGATATAATACAGCTGGATTAGGTTTATTATAATTTGGAATATAAACTTGTTTTAATTTATGTTCCTGAGCAGCAAGTTTAGTACGTCGTTGTCGAATATACCGGTCAGTGGTTTTCCAAAAATAATACAATTCAATAATGGATTTATGCGTTTTCCATGGTAAACAATTAGATAATATATCAGTGAATACTTTTGAATATTTATCTAATGCTTCTTCAAATAAACTAGTTTCATTAGCAGACCAATCTTCCAATTGATCACGATAAATAATCGGTTGACCACCTTTAAAAAAGATGAGAAAAAAAAGAAAAATTTATTGAAGTAAAAAAAAATATTTTTCCAGTTATAGTTTTAAAGTAAAAAGGTTACAACGTCGTAATCTTTGATAAAACACTATGATTGTTATTATCATGAATAAACAATAAACACAAGTTTAATGAACTCTATCATTAGAAAAAAAAAGAAGAGGTATATGAACTAAGTAAATAAAAAATTGTTTTTTTAAAAAGCTCTTCACTAGAGAACACTGTCGGTGGTAATTTTAGCCTATGGTGAATTGTCATATGAAGTCAGAGTACAATGTGTTAGCGTTGTCAAGATTTTCAATTTCTAGAGTGTACTGACTACTGTCGATAGCTTGACATGCAAGGGTTAGTTGGTTGATAAGTCAGTCAGTTAGTTACAACGTAGAACTTTGTACGTACGTACATCAGTTCAGGTTGCCATACCGCATTAGCACACAGACGCCACTGTGAGTTCAAATCCCGTAATGGTGGAGTAAAGTAGAAGAATTACTGGTAATGGAGAATATTGACAGGTATGTAAGAAAAACGCCAAGGGAGACATAGTGTCAGTCAATAATGTCATTGATCTGTGTAGTAATTAAAGTTATTAGGTTATATAGAGGAGTGTGTAAAATAGTTTGTACAGATGTTATCTCAGTCATTTTATATCTTCCTTTAAATCTTAAATTCGTTTTATTCTTCGATAATCTTCGTTGTCCAAAAGTTACGTCCAGTTTTTTATTACCAATGATACTACTCTGTGGCTGATATGGTGACGTGTGGCAACTTGAAGTGATAACCACTACTTCCGACTGACACCTCAATCCACTATAACTATTTGACAATTTATAAAGAGAATCGAATTTCATTTACTGTACTTATTGTGTACGATCTAAGGAAAAACAGTCACTCTCGAAAAGGTAAAATGCAAGAAACATTATTCATTCTTCAGTTCATATTGATTTTCTTATCAATGATGCCAATCGGCGAAAAATTAGACAAAAATTCAAATTGACAGTCTAACGGAAAGTAGTTAAAATCAGTTTAACTAATAATTAGTACTTGCTAAATTTTATCACGAAATGAAATCATTCGAAATCACAACCAGCTATAGTCGATAATCCTGACTGATAGTAAACAAGAAACCTATACGTAATGACAATAGCAATGTAACTCTTCAAAAATGAGAAATTCACATGTATCAGATTTTGGATTACATTTGTTTCATCTTTAAACATCCTAGATAACTCTCATATAAAAAGAGTGAAGGTAGAAAGTTCGAACATATATGGTCAAATAGTTGAAAGTTGAATACACTAGCCAGTCAAACAGCTCGTAATATCTATAAACTCTGTCAAATCGACCATTAAACCTTATGTCATTGAATATCTAAATCAAATTTACTTATAGAGACAGACAGACAGACAGATACAACGCAGAACTTCGTACGTAAGTACATCAGTGCAGGTTGCCATACCACATTAGCACAGAGACACAACTGTCAGTTCAAGTCCAAGAGTGATAGTATTAGCAGTAATGTAGAAGATTAGGGAGCGAAGATATGATTCGAGAAGTATAATTCAGTAAGATAAATTTAGAAGGAGAAAGATAGAGATTAAGAGTAATTCAGAAGGTTAGAATTTCACAGAACACAAAGAGTGGATGCACCTGCGCCATTGCAAACGATTTTGAGCCATGCCGGCAAAGGTGTCTGACCATCGGTGATTTTCGTCTCGCGGACCCCAACCAGGTAGCCTACATCTAGCAACATGACTCAGTCCACTTGTCAATGACGTCATGGATTTCTGCCATGTTTTGGTTTCGCCGCCCACACTACTACTGTAAAAGCCTAATTCAGGTGACTGACTTGCAGAAATACATCAAACTACGCTTATTAGTAATTAGAAAGTAAAAAAAATGTCAACAAGGAACTTTTGGGTTTATCAGAGACAAAGTATTTCCTAATGAGAGTTGAATGTATCCTAAAAGTAGTTGAGTATATGTTAGTTAAGCTACTATGATTGAACAAGTTAAAGGTTTAAGAAAGAAATACAAATGTTCACAGTATTTTTAAGGTTTTAATAGGGAGATTTGTGGAGGTTATATCATTTTCATAGTGGAAATCACCAACTGATTTAAGCCTGACCACTATTAGAAACCTGGAAGCACTCTAGAGTCGTTTCGTTTTAGTATAAGACTCCTTGGCAGTGCGCATCCACAATCCCCGAACGAGGTAATCAAACCTAGGTCTCGAGTACGAGCGCTTAGCCTCTAGACTACTACTGAGTCGGCATCCAATGGTGTAACTGTCAAACTGCTTTAATAATGCCTACAACTAATGATAGTATTGAATGTGAATTATTCTTGAATTGAATCTCCAATTAAATATTATAGCTTGAATACTAACTGATGACAGTTCCATTATGAAAAAATATTAAATGATAAACAGGTAAATAAACTCATGATTAATCTAAATATCTGCCATGTGTAATGATTTCTTGTTGACAATTCCTCATTGAAGATGGCTTAGTCTTATTGAATTAATTGCATAACGATTCTTGTATGAAGCTTAACTACTTAACCACTCATAAAATTTTAAATGAGCATCCATATTTTTTTCTTATCCATCAACAACAATAAACACAATTGCATTCTCCACAGGATGCTAGACACCTAAGCTCGATCGATTTTTTCTTTGTTATTATAGAATCCATACACATATATGCACAGACAAACGTACAAAAACATATGTGTCTAAGTCGATATTATATATATATATATATATATATATATATATATATATATGTAGAGAGAGAGAGAGAGAGAAGTTTTGATGAACTTTGCATCGGGTCAAGAAAACAAGCCAGATTAGGAAGGAAAATAAGAAATAAAAAACGCTTTCTAGATGGTTATAAGAAGACCCATATTAGAAAGCAGTGAAATAATGTTCACTACAAGAATAACTTATCTCCTTTGTACTCACCGCCAACATTCATTCAGAAGAAATAAACAACATTAAACTAACCAGGTAATAGAAGATTAATGGCTTTATTCAAATCGTAATTGGCTTCATGTAGTATATCATGAGCATGTTGTCGAGTTATATCACGTCCAGCTGAAGCTGCAGCACTTAATAGAAGAGGTTGTCTAGTAGATGATGAAGTATCATGTGCACGACCGTATGTACCAACAGCTTTGGCTAACAAACAAAACATATCGATCTCTTGTTCTGTTAATGAATGGGAAGGAGACCAAACTAATTCTTCATGTACTTCAGTTAATCGGACATCTTCTGATTCTATAATCAATAGAACAAGGAATTTGAATGCATTACTGAATAAGAGGATTTTTCGGTAATGAAGTGCATCATAAACACTTTTCTTAGATATCATAAAATAATAATTCAAAACTACAACTAATGTGAAGGGTAAAATCTACTGAAATGATGTTCAAGTTTTTGTGTTCACAGGTATTGAAACGACTTTCTTGATTAAGGGCAACTACGTTGACGGTTGTATCAATTTCAAACTAGTACTTACACAAAAACACATAACCTAAACTTTTCTTCAACACTGGTTATAGTGTAAGCGTCATTAAGAAATGCCATAATAATGGTAATTAATAATATTAATATCATTTCTTTTGAGAAACAATTAGTGATCGGTGGTTGCAAGTAAGCAGTTCAGGAATCGGCATATTATTAACACCCATTCTTTTCCAATATTAGGAATAACCCTCGAGTTATATCGACGAGAGTAGCTCAAAGGATTAAAGCATGAGAAAATGGGATACTGCGGATAATCACTATTAATTTATAGAAAATCATCATTTATTTAACTTGACGGGGAGCCTTCTCTGAGGTGATCGCCAGTTCCAGGGAAGGAGTGAGGTTAGCACCCCAACTCCGCAAAAAATAACTCTCAACAAAAACACTAACCAGAGAAAACTGATTAAATTCAAACTTGAAAGTGAGAGGTTATTCATAGGGAGATTAATGATGCCGATGCTTCGGAAGACACGAAGTCTTCCAAAGGATTAAAACAACATAAGTACATGGGACTTCCGATGTGGGAGGTTAGGACGGTGTTTAAAATAATCCCAGAAATGAGAAGATACAACATAGTCGCCCTTGAAATACATGAAACTCACTGGAAACAATCTGGACAGAAAAGACTTGCTGCGGTGTAGATGTTGTATTCTGGGATGAAATGCTCTGGGACACAGAGTTACGAAGAAAGCGCTTAAAATATAGGAAATACACGCCTCAGGGGCATCAAAGTATCCTTAAAACAAAGAATTACCACAACATCCGGTACTAGGCGTTCACCGATAATAGCAGCGAAAATGATAAAGATCAATTTAGTGAAACTGAAGTCCATCCTAGAAAAATGTCCTACAAAAAAATGGCCAAAATCCGGAAAGAAAACACTGGATACAGAAACATCATAGAGTAACATGGACTAGGAGAAAGAGACGATTTAACATGTACATAGGCAAACCAATCACCGACGTTCAATAAGAGCGAAACTGGTGGGCAGAACAACTTGAAAAGCCTTTAAATAGAAAAACCTCACTAAAGCTAACCGATATCGAAGCAGTACACATTGGTTTCCCCATAGATCATAATCCATCAACAATAGAAGAATACAAGAAGATACTCAAACAAATCAAAAGTGGCAAATTTACAGGACTAGACAGCGTACTAGTTGAAGCACCGAAATCACATATACACACAACTCAAAGGATATTCCATGTGCTCTCTACAAAAACCTAGGAAATAAAAGGATATGAAACAAAGGGGATCATCATTTGCATAATTGCTACACAGTTATCACACCACTGTCAGTACTCAACAAAGTTTTCAACACAGTAATGCTTAACTGAATTAAAGATTCAACAGACGACCAACCTCCACATCAACAATCTGGATTTCGTATATATATATTACATAACAACCAAACAGTGACACTAGATCATCGTTGAACATCCAATTAGTGGGACTCATTAATGTACATCAATCTTTATTGGTTATGAGAAAACATTCGACATTGTGTACACGGCAATTCTGTGCAATCCTTTTCGACACCAAGGAGTACTTGATACGATCGTGACCAGCACACAGAACACCTAAAACGAAATCAACGGCGAATTCGTTGTTGGAGACCACACTTCAGATGCATCACAACGATGCCTATCCCTACTTATTCTCTCCTTCACGGTTGTTGACTGACTTATCCTAATCACCACATCTCGAAACAAGCACAGAGTATATGGACATCAAGACGTAGCTTAATAATTTGCACTCTCCACATGAATTTCACCTTCTACCCAAATACAGCGACAAATTCAGGCACAAATATCCAGTGTGGTAGAGGTGCTCGCATCAGCAGGTGTCAAAATGCACGAGAAAAATATCCTCAAGACACACAGAGAATCAATAAAACCATACTTGATAGTCAAACTCTGAAAGATGTGTCTTACATATCTGGACATCATCATCCACAAAGAAGAAAGATCTGGATGCAGATGTGAAGGCACCAATCGGAAAACCGAAAGGAACATTCAAAAAACTAAAGAATGTCTGGAACTCGAAACAACTATCAGCTAACATCAACGTCACAATTCCTAATACGAACCCTAAGATAGTTCTGTTGTACAGAGCTATAATTTGAAGAACTACTTCAACCATCGTTAGAAAGTACATGATACTCTTCACTCATTGGTTAGACAGCATCAGCAATAGCTTATTGTGCCAGAGAACTAACTAGTTGCCAGATCAGAAGCAAATCAGGGAAAGACGCTCTAGGTGAATACGGTCATTAAACTGCATAGCAAAGCTAACTCCAAGGAAAAGCGGCAAACCAAATAAAACATTGAGCCGAGAATTAGATTCAGACATCAAAAGGATGAGTAGCACTTGACTGGAGACCCACAGTGAGCGGCCTTCCATCCGATAGAGGCTAACAGACCTTAGTAAACACATAATTTGTCCCAGTACGGATCCTAGAACCAACAGCCATTACTTTATCGAGCCAGAGATTGGCTGGTCACGATATAAGAGTTTTAAAGTTAGAATACACGAGGGCGGATAGAAGACAAGAAGTCAAAAGTAGATTTAATAAACCTATTAAGTAAATTAATAGATATACAAAAATTCAAGAATTGAAAAGCAACTGCAGGCAACAAGGTGAAAAACTAATATAGTATGTTAATAACAATGGTAGGGATAATAATAATAATCATCACACGTTGTAGGTTTGACATGGATATATGCATAAACTGTCAACAATATTATGATCATGATAATAAAGTTTACCATGCAGTCTTGATCTTCTTGCCTTGATACTGCTGATTAGTTTGGCGTTTTTAACGTGATAACAGTCAAATAGGATCATAGAACACGACATTTAGTCTTGAAAACTAAAGAATATAAAATTCTATTGTTTTCAAGCATGGTGTATTAATGCTACTTATTAGTTTGCGCAGAATGACATAAGAATAGTGTGTTAGTGTATGAAACTAGAAGCACATGCAAATTTCCAATAAATCAATAAACAGCCAATATATATTGGGTTAAGAAAGAACTTACTTGATTTCAATAAGCATTGTATCTCAGATTGATAATCTGATCCAATTCTCATTGAACCTCTATCTTCTTGAAGAGTTTTTAAATTAGGATCATATATAAGTTTATAATAAAATGCTTCATCTCTGACCAGATAATTTGTCAATGGTTCTGCATCATTGTGTAGTGTAACAGAGCATTTACCTGAATAAAATAATAAATAGTAAATTTGCGAAGAGAACATTAGATGATATCTAACAATATTGACTAGTAATAAAACGTTGTTATATACGACTGAGTGATAAAAATTTGTAGATGATAACCAAGAACATTTTAGTTAATTTTATCTTACTGAAAGAGTGTCTGCGCACTTGATTCCTCCTACCATAGTATCCAATTAATGATTAGATTAATTTGACAATAATGAAAATGACATAGCTGTGATATGATGCAACATTACTTCAATTTCATTATATTCTGTATGAAAAAAAATTACTTATAAATGCGACAGTGTAGCGACACAACTGTCAGTTCAAATCCAAGAGTGATAACGATAGTAGAAGTATTAGCAGTAATGGAGAATATTAGGGTTCGAAGATATGATTCGAGAAGTATAATTCAGTAAGATAAATTTAGAAGGAGAAAAATAGAGATTATGAGTAATTCAGAAGGTTAGAATTAGAAAGAACACAAAGAGTGGATGCACCTGTGCCATTGCAAACGATTTTGAGCAATGCCATTCAAGGTCTCTAACCATTGGTGACTTTCGTCTCGCGGACCCCAACCAGGTAGCCTACATCTAGCAACATGACTCAGTCCACTTGTCAATGACTTCATGTTTTGGTTTGGCCGCCCCTAACTTTCTTCCAGCCTACTCCTACACTGCGAAACATTGCTCGTCGCGGCAGTCGGTGGTTAGGTATACGTAACACACGTCTCAACAACCTCAACTGATGAAATTTCACTACTTCATATATTGATATGCCAGCCCTACTTAGTACCTGTTTCCTAACTATAGCTTTGCTTACTCCGTTGCCCCAGGATATACGAGTAATGCTTCGAAGACATTTTTAATCGAATACTAATAACCTACGAATGTCTTCTATTCTTACCGGCCATGTTTCGCATCCATATAGTAGGACAGAGCGAACTGCTGCACAGTACACTCGTCCTTTGGTTAGCAAACGGATATCTCGCCTGCGGCACAGGTGATGCAACATGGCAAAAGCCGATTGAGCCTTCTGTATCCGTGCTGAGATTTCGTCACACACCAGGCCATCAGCACTGATGATGAGACTCCCCAGAAAAGTGAAGCGGTTGAAACGCTCAACTACTTCACTCCCTATCACTAGAACATTCAGTTACAAAATAATAAGAAAACATATTTAACACAGATAGTAATACACATGATACGTCATGTTAGATTATCTTGTTGACTGTTGAAATCATCTAACATGTTGTAAGTTGTAAAATAATTAACATGCTCATTTAAAAAATGAAACCTAACAAGAAAGAATTTTTTGGTTTAGATTGAATAATAAACAAACAAGCGAATAAAAAGCAACGCATATATATTAAAAATATAAAAATATATAGGTATATATATGTATAATCAACATGATTAGAAAATGTTACCCCTAATATGCGTAGCCGGTAGACATTCGACTTGTCGTGAAAGAAACAATTCTCGATGTTTTAACTGATGTTTTTGTTGTTCAGAGATTACACTATTTGAACGTTTGAAGCCTTCTTTAGAGTTAGTATTATTATTATTATTATTGTTATTATTATTATTATTAGTATTATTATTTGAATTGGTTAGTTCATTTGTACATTCTTCATCATAATCATCATCACTGCCATCTGCATTAGAAAATATAAAATGAAATTTCTTATGAAATGGCTAACTCTCATATATGCACATGCATACATACGTACATTACTGTAAATGACAGGAATAAGCGCACAAATAGTCTTAAAAGTATAATTCAATCTGCGTTCAGCATCTCTGAAAAGTAAATTCAAATCTTTGGTATTGAGGAGAAATCAGTCAGTCAGTCAGATGCAACGTAGAACTTCAGGAGAAATAATGTAGTTTATCAGCTTGACATATATATATATATATATATATATATATATATATATATATGCCTTGAGGAAAGTCACTGATGTAGTAGTAGGTTTTTATCAATCGATTTCACCATTAAAAAAATATATATTATATGGAAATTTTATTTGACACTACAACTATTGTTTTTCTACCAGTTTATACAATAGTGACGCATCGCAGCTCGATTACTCACAATCGGTATTTATGGTGTATGCATAGTACAATTGAAAAAAGTACTAATTTTCAGCAAAAATAGAAATTACGCTAATCATAGATTACCTCCATCTTAATTTTCTTACCGGACATGCGCGCCCAAATGAATGAGAACAAGAGATGTATGATGTAGTAAACAAGACATACCAACAGACATACAACCATAACATACACATGTTATTGCATACAGACAAGCAGACAAACAAATACAATGAACCAGTGTGTTAAATAAATATACAGACATGACCTTAAGAAGAAAACACCAAAATGGTTGACTTCTGTAACCAACATGGCGTCGTCCTATTTAGCACATATACGCGCAGCCATTGTGATTCATCAATTACAACTTAAGTAGGTTCGAATGGAAAAGATTAAAACATCGTTTAATGCTAGCAATAAATCAGTGAATGGAGCATAGTTTGAAAATATATAGTGCTTGAAATCAAAACACCACTGTAGATGACAAGTAACTGTTTAAAATGTTCACACATTTCTTCTATCTTGCAAATTATAAGCAAAGAGCGATTTAACAAATATAACTAAATAGATAAATCAGCTAGTAGTCACCAAGAGGTACAGGTCGACTATGTTCACACTAAGATGGTGCATTCGTTCGAACTTTAATAAGACACAAGATTTCTTTCGTTTTATAAAGCAAATTGCACATAAAACACTTCGTCTATAAAACAGTATAGACAAGTCTGGTGTTCGATTTTTCTGTATTGAGATATAATCTGAGCCAACCCTTCTTGTTGAAGAGGTGGTAGCTGTATTAGTGGTAATCCAAAAGATAAGGGTTCGAAGATAGGATTCGAGAAGTATCATTCAGTGAAATAATTTTAAAAGAGAAAGATTAAACTCATGAGGAATCCAGAAGATTAGAATTTGAGAGAACACAAAGAATGGATGCACCTGCTCAATCGTGAATGATTTTGTGCCATCTCATTAAAGGCTTTTTAACCATCGTTTACCATCATTTCGTGAACCCCAACCAGGTGGTTTACACGTACTAACAAGGCTTAGTTCAGTTGTCAGTGACTCCATGGATTTGTGCCATACTCTGTTTTGGCCGCTCCTAACTTTCTTCCAACCTACTACCTAGAATAAAGCTAGCAGTCACTAATGATCAATAAATAACTCTTGGAATAATAACATCAAAAGACTTAGGCACAGAGTATGAAACGATTTTAAAATGCTAATATAAACATTCTTCAAAGTTGGGTAAAATTGTCTCATTAAGGATATTATTCTTACAAAGTACAAACCATAATTGTAGTGGGTTTCATAGTTATGCTATTTATTCTATACTGGCACATAATCGTTAACGATGTATGATTCGTATTGAATACAAACAAGAAATTCTCAGTTTAAAAGAACATGAAAGCAAAAGTATTTTAGAATGGTATGTCATTATAAATAATTCATTAAACATATATATACATATACAACAAATTCAACAAGAACTTACAATATTTCTCTGCCTGATTAATTAAAGCGCTGGATACATCACGTCTACGGTAGTAGCAGGCAACTTTAGCTTCAACCGCACCAGTAGGAGTCTGAAGATTCAAACAAAAAGGGTACAAATAATAATGGTTCATTTAAATTTTCATGTAATCCAATTAATTATTTGTAAGCTTTTGTGATTTTAACTTGACAAAAATGAGAAAATTCAACCAGTAATTTCAAAAAAAAATATATGTTACATCATCACTTATAAACATTACAAAAAACTTGTGTTGAAAGGTACATATCTGCATAGTACCGGAGATAGATATGTATTTACAATCAATAAATAAAAATCAATAGACCTGAAAAATAACGAGTAACTTGACCATCAATAATAGCAAGAAAAAAAAGAAAAGCGATCGATAAGTAGGCTGCGGATGTAAAAGGTGGGACACTAGCAACAATATGAATAAGGACATGATGAAGAGAAAATACAACTAGTTTAGTCAATTAGTTAGTCGAAAATGTGTAGTATATTATAGTATGAAGTGTAAAAAAGGGATGACGACAGTGCTCGTCTAATGGTAACATCATAAGATGAAGCAAATTATGCACGTACTACTCTATTCTATAGGCGAATGAAGGTTTATCGTTATCAATTGTGGAATGTTGAAATGAACAGGAAAACATGAAATATGACCATTTCTGAACACTAAGAATCTACAATGGATTCTGTTCAGATGAAACTATAGGATACAGTTGGATGCTAAGTATGCATGGAAAAATGAAATATATTTAGAAGTTTTATCAATATTAATCTTAGACGGTGTTTTCTCAAAAAGAAACTTTTCGTTATGTTTAATAAAGTATTCGTTAATCATACAAATAATTCTATCCAATACTTTGACACTGGATTACATTCAATAGTCGGCCTGCCACCTTCAATAAGATATCCACTTTATTATATAAACAAGTTCACTTTTTACAACACAATGAACTCATAACAATGCAGTGTAATAAATATTCAGAAAACAAGCAGTTATCAAGTTCTAACTTGATTAATAGGTGTGTTGATGAGAAATGAGTTCAGAGGAACCATGGACTCATCATTTTAATGCTATATGAACTGATGAGAAATTCTTTCCAAACAGTATATCAGTTTGTGGCAGTGTCTGGCATTGAAAGGTGTACCAAAGAAGTACATTAACCTTATACAAGCTCTATACTCGAACAACACTGGTCGAGTGAAAGCTTATGGCGAACTGTCACCGGAATTCTTTACTTCAAGTAGTGTCCGTCGGGGCTGTACACTATCTCCATTCTTGTTTAATTTTATCATAGACATACTGCTAGATATTACATTATCTTCGTCTGAATTTTCAGGAGTAGACCTTCTACCAGGTGGCTCGCTTATAGACTTAGAATATGCCGATGACATTGTCCTACTTGGTGAAGACGCTGACAAAATGCAGAGTCTTCTGACTACCCTAAGCAACAATGCAAGCATGTTCGGGATGCAGTTCTCACCATCGAAATGCAAAATGTTGCTTCAAGAATGGCTTGCAACGGCACCTGAACTAGTGATAGGGAGTGAAGTAGTCGAACGTGTAGACCGCTTCACTTATCTGGGGAGTCTCACCAGTGCTGATGGCCTGGTGTGTGACGAAATCACAGCTCGGATACAGAAGGCTCGGTTGGCTTTTGCCAACCTGCGTCACGTATGGCGCAGGTGACATATCCATGTACTGATTAAAGGACGAGTGTACTGTGCGGCAGTTCGCTCCGTCCTACTGTACGGATGCGAAACATGGCCGTTAAGAGTAGAGGACATTCGTAGGTTACTAGTCTCCGATCGTCGATGTCTCCGAAGCATTGCTCGTGTATCATGGGACAACTGTATAAGCAATGCTGTCGTTAAGAAACGAGTACTAGGTAAGGATTGCAAATCAATAAATGAAGCACTGAAACTTCATCAGTTAAGATGGTTGGGACATGTGTTACGCATACCTAACCACCGACTGCCGCGACGAGCTATGTTTTGCAGTGCAGGAGTAGATTGGACGAAATTTAGGGGCTGCCAGACCAAAACATGGCAGAAATCCATGAAGTCATTGACAAGTGGACTGAGTCATGTTGGTAGATGTAGGCTATCTGGTTGGGGTCCGCGAGACGAAAGTCACCAATGGTTAGAGACCTTGAATGGCATTGCTCAAAATCGTTTGCAATGGCGCAGGTGCATCCACTCTTTGTGTTCTCTGTAATTCTAACCTTCTGAATTACTCATAATCTCTACCTTAATCCTTGTAAATTTATCTTACTGAATTATACTTCTCGAATCATATATTCGCTCCCAAAATCTTCTCCATTACTGCTAATACTTCTATTATTGCTATCACTCTTGGATTTGAACTGACATTTGTGTCTCTGTGCTGATGTGGTAAGGCAAATTGAACTGATGTACTTACGTACGAAGTTCTGCGTTGTATCTGTCTGTCTGTCTGTCTGTCTGTCTGTATATCATTTTATCTAATAATGAATATGAGTTAAACAATTTAATTACGATACTGAAGCTAAGACCGGATTAGTAGCACAGTGATCAATAAGTTTCATGTGCCTAGTGTATCTACAAGTACGTTTTCGCCCCGGCAACCTTCAGACGCACAGCTATAGATGTACTGGCATATCTGAAACGTACAAAAGTGAACAGTCCGTTACAACGCAGAACGTCGTACGTACGTACATCAGTTCACTTATTAAACTAAAGGGGTTAGCCAACTTGATTAGCAGCTAGAGTAACATCCTATGATTAACATTCTTGATAGCCTAATCGAGTAGAAGTGAATGTGACAACCACAAAGTATTTGTCGTTAGGAAACGGGTCCTAGATAAAGATGGCAGATCAATAGATGAAGTGGTGAAACTTCATCAGTCGAGGTGGTTGGGACATGTGCTACGTATGCCTAACCACCAACTGCCTCATCAAGCTATGTTTTGTGATGTGGGAATAGGTTGGAAGAAACTTAGGGACGGCCAAACCAAAACATGGCAGAAATCCATGAAGTCACTGACAAGTGGACTGAATCATGTTGGTAGATGTGGGCTACCTGGTTGGGGTCCGCGAGACTATAGTAAACGATGGTTACAGACCTTGAATGACATGGCCCAAACCCGTTTGCAATAGCGCTCGTGCATTCATTCTTTGTGTTCTCTCAAATCCTAACCTTCAGAGTTCTTCATCACCTTAATTTTTTCCTTGTAAGTTTGGTTGGGCATACATAAGTCATTCGGTGGTCCCAGAGTACACAACTGACGCTTCAAAGACACCAAAGAATATCCTCTTTTCTTAATGGTAATGCATCATAGTATAAATCAACAGCACAGTTAATGCAATAAATACATTGTACTTACTTTGTTAAGTTCATCTATTCGACGGATTTGATATGGAGCATTGGCTGATGATTCAAAATAAACGAAATCTACAATAGCAAAATAATAGAGATCACTCTAACAATGAATAGAGAAGGAAAAATACATCATTTATAATCTGTAGTAAACTTTATTTATTGTTCAAGCTTTCTTGAGTAATCTGATATAGGTAAGTAATTAAAATATGTTGATGTAATTTACTATAGGCTAGTGTAAAACTGTTACTGTCAAATTTATTGTATGGATGGTGGGTAGTTACAGTCAGTCAGTCAGATGCAACGTAGAACTTTGTACATTAAGTACATCAGTTCATGTGGACATACCACGTCAGCACAGAGAAGTAATCGTCAATTCAAATCCAATAAAAGAAGAGGTAGTAAGGGAATTAGAAGTAATCGGAGAGGCTAGGATTAGAAGATATTATTCAAGAAGTATGATTCAGTGAGAAAAGTTTAGAGAGTCAAAAGTAGAGGTGTTGAAGAATCCAGAAGATTAGGATTTGAGAGAACACAAAGAATAAATGCACCGGCGCCATTGCGAACGATTTTGAGGGTATCTAACCATCGATTATTATCATCTCGCGGACCCCAACCAGGTAGTCGACAATTACCGACATGGCTCAGTCCACTAGTCAATGACTTTATGGTAGTTACACTATTCAACTATGCATGCAATTACTTAACATGTATCGCAACATATGATAATTTCTTTTCATAATTATTATTATTATCAAAGTAGCACTACAAAAAACCACAACAAACTAAAGAATCCAGGCACGTCAAGTTAGTAGATCTGGATTATTGATAAAATAATGACTAAAATAATGAATATACACAGATCATGTGTATACAACTAACCATACTAAGAAATGTGCTAACGATTTTTCGAATAGTCCCAGTAACATACCGCATAAAAGATGTTAATTTTTTACTTAATCATATTAAAAGATTGCTAAAATACCATTGAAAGCTTTAAGAACATCCTTTAAATATATCTTGATAAGAAAACATAGAGAAGAGAGAGAGTCATAAAAACATGTAATGCTGTAAAACTAATAAAGCATAGTGTGATTTATGCAGACTGGTTTGTAGTTTTGAGAATAAGTGAAAAAAACAAACACCCTTCCTTTCGGTGTTATAAATCTACATCCGGGTACATAGTGTAGGCATAACACAGGCAACTTTCGATAGTCTCTGAATAAAATTGGAAAATAAAAAGTAAGCATTTCATGCGAAAATATACGGAAGCTACTCAACAATCTACGTTGCCAATGGATTCTCGTACATTAATTAATACAAACTGAAAACTTGATTAGGCATTAATTGAAGTGCACGACCATATTGATAATTATACTACATAAGTATGATAGTAATAGAATCAATACTTATGTGAAAGTTCTTCTTCTATGAACAAATTATATATATATTTTTTTTTTCCAATAAAAAAGACGGAGGAATTTATTTGCAAGGTCGAGTGTTGAAATTAATCGATTAGTTAATTTGATTTCGTACCAGTCAGAACGAAAATGATTTAATATGACAATGTATGAATATATATACAGCAATATAAATAGTATATCAAGTTGCAATATCTTTGAAGAATGGATGATGACTAAAATGTTAGAATAAGCTATGATTTAACACTATTTCCACATACGTATAGAGAAATATGCATATTAAATTGATAGGCATACAAATAACACCAGAAATTAGAAAAAAAAACGCTTTCCAGTTCGTGTTAATGCTTATCGTCATTATTAGTGATAACCACGTTGAAGATACATACATCTATATGCATCAAAAATGTTCCTCAAATGATCATCAAAATTATACCCAGCTTTTAAGTCAAACTTTACCAGTTACGCACAGTTTTATTCTTTCTCAATATCACTGTTCTTACTAGTGCTATGATTTTCTGTTGCTATTTCTCTTCTTAATTCTAACTAGTTGTGCTGACGTGGCATGGCTACATAATCATTATGACTGGCCTTCACATATTTTGAAATCAATATATGATCTTGATTGTTAGATGGTTGGATGTAACACTGAATCACGATCGTCTTTCAAATCAACACTCAGCAACAATGCTTGAGAAAGTAGTTTTGTTCAGACTATTATTCAGAGATGTTAGCATGCAAGTTATACAGCTGTTAGACGATCGATCTTACTTCTACAACATAATAGTGGATGTGGAATAAGAACCCAAAACAAAATTCTGTTATGATCATTTAAAAATATACAGAATAGCTTAGTCGTGTAAAGGAAATGGTACTAATTCATCTTTTCAGTACTTAGAATTCATACTTATTCAAAGGACTGATTTCATGATGTTTGCTTTGCCAATAGGGGTTAAAGCGGTTAACTATATCAGTCAGTCAGTCAGTCAGTCAGATGCAACGTAGAACTTCGTACGTAAGTACATCAGTTCATGTCACCATACCACATCAGCACAGAGATGGAATTGTCAATTCAAATCCAATAGTACTAGAGGTAGTAAAGGTATTAGAAGTAATCGGAGAGGTTAGAATTAGAAGATATTATTCACGAAGTATGATTCAGTGAGATAAGTTTAGAAAGACAAAACTAGAGGTGTTGAAGAATCCAGAAGATTAGGATTTGAGAGAGCACGAAGAATAAATGTACCGGCGCCATTACAAATGGTTTTGAGCCATGTCATTCACGGTCTCTAACCATCGATTATTATCATCTCGCGGACCATGTTACTGGATTTGAATCATAGGTGTCGTCGAAGCATTGCTCGTGTATGCTTGGACAACCAAGTAATTCATGCAGTTGTTAGGAAACGGGTATGGATGGCAAATCAATAAATGAAGTAGTGAAACTTTATCAGTTGAGGTGGTTAGGACATGTGTTACATATGCCCAACCACTGACCGTCTCGACGAACTATGTTTTATGGTATAGGAATAAGCTAGAAGAAAGGTAGGGGTGGCCAAACTAAAACATGGCGCAAACTCATGAAGTCACTGACAAGTGAACTGAATCATGTTGGCAAGTGTAGACTACCTGGTTGGGGTGATAGGCTTACCCCTGAGATGTTTAAGGATGGTGGTCCAGTTTTAACGGTTAGACTGACCGAGATCCTAGGTAGAATCTGGGAAATGGCCGTAATCCCATCTGACTGGTCTCAGTCGCTAATTGTCCCAATCTACAAGAAAGGACAGAAGTCCTCTTGTGACAATCACAGGGGAATAAGCTTAACTAATATAGTTTCTAAATTGTTAGCCTCGATTATACTTAGACGTCTAACTAGAGCTCGTGAAGAGCAGACTCGAGAAAACCAGGCTGGTTTTCGACCTGGACGTGGTTGTATAGACCACATCTTCACATTACGACAGGTCCTGGAACACAGACACACATTTAGACGTCCGACAATAGTCGTGTTCCTGGACCTTAAGGCGGCATTCGACTCAGTGGATCGTGAGGTTCTGTGGCAGTGTCTGTCATTGAAAGGTGTACCAAAGG